TAAAGCATTGTTTAACAAGGTCTGAACGAGATTTAAGCTCGGAAGCGGTTAGAGACTCCCTAACCCGTATATTAAAATGTGTGTTTGTATTGATTTTATTATTAATAATATATTTTTTGCCCCTTAAAATTTCCCTAACCGCTGCCTTACTTGGCATTTTTACTTTAATTGGACGACAAGAATTCATTTTTTTAACACCCATACGAAAAATAGCAGTTGGCAAACCAATGTCAACTTTGCACATATTAATAACTTCTAAAACCTTGTTTTGATCTTCCTTCACACGCTCCAGAGCATCTGATTTTTGACTTTCTTCCAATCCAGTAATCACTATGCTGTGAAGACGCTCATTTTCCTCAAATTGTTGTTGTTGTTTTTGTAAATGAAGTTCAAAATTTCCATAAGAATTTTGTTGTTCATTTAGAAGGTCTGCTGCAATTTTTAGAAGAGAGCCCATTTGTCCAATAATTAATTTCGCCCAATTAGGTGTAGTCTTGTCTTGTTCCATTTCTGTTGCAATTTTGTCAAAATTTAAAGAATTAATTTCTTCAACAATTTTGCTGCGTTTTTCGTTGTTTGTCATATTTGCTGCAAAATTTAAAGGAGAAAATTCTGAAGAATTGCGCTTAGACATGTCAAAAGAATATTACCCAATTAAATGCCTTTTTTTAAAAATTTCCTTAAAGAAAAAATATTGTTTAAAAAATAAAAATAAAAAATGATAAATTTCAATAAAAATTAAGAAAAAAGGGAAAAAAACAGTTCTGATTTTATGAATCATCAAAAGAGAAATAGCACAAATGATAGAGAGAAGAGAAAAAAAAATACTAGTATGAATTGTCATTTAAATAAATTTTTTAGATAGAATGCCAAATTATATATTAGATTTACAATTTAATTATTTTTTTAGATATTTTTAGGATTTGGAGATATTTTTAGGTTTTAGGATTTGAATTTTTTTTAGGATTTAAAAATGTTTTCTCTATCACCTGCGATTAACCTTGATGATCTATAATATTTTAATTTAAAGCAGTTATTCTCTAAAAACAAGCCAATTTTTATATTCGAAATTTAATTTTAAAAAAAATATAAGGGAGGATTGGCAAAAATGAAGTTTTGAATTTTTTTAGATATAATGTTAAATAATAAATTCATTTATCAATTTGAATATTTCCTTGAGGGTGAAAGAAAAATAGAGAAAAAATATTCAATATTTAGAGCAATAGGCCTTTTTTTAATAGTTTGTAATTTAAGGGAATTTACGAGAATTGATTTTATTTTTTCTTGATAATAGCAATAAAAATAAAAATAGATTGGATTGTACCTATTGAATAAGTATTGCTTTTATTTTATTTTTGAAACTAAGTGTTACTTTTGTGGTTCTAAGTTCATCAGTTAAAACGTTCCACATTTTAGTTACCCTATTTACAAATGAGTTAGATGATTTTGAAGTTTGATTTTTAGATAACAAATAACAGTTTTTTCTATTTGATATTTTAAAAAGATTTTCTGATTTAATATGAGTGTATCCATGTAGGATTTTATGAGCTAATACTAAATCATATGTCTTACGACGGTTTTCAAGAGTAGGAAGATTAAGAAATTCCAATCTTTGAAAATAAGGTATATAGGGTAATGAACATTTTCTAAGTAGGATTTTTGTAAAGAATTTTTGACATTTTTCGAGTTTGTTAATTTCAGATTTTAGTTGTGGATTCCATGTTTCAGGAGAGTATTCCAGCAATGGTCTTATATAACTTTTATAGATTGTAAGCCATGTTTTTATAGATTTCGATTTAATTATCTTAAACACAAAATTCATTTTTATATAAGCAGCCCGAATAATTTTTTGTACATGTTCTTGAAATTTAAGTTTATTATCGATTATGATGCCTAGATCTCGTATAGAATCTACTTCATTTATAGATGTATCAAAAATTTTATATTGATCTTTCGGGTTAGTTTTACCAAGATAAATAATATATGTTTTATTAATAGCTATATTTAATTTCCATTCAGTTGCCCATTGTTCAATATTTTTGATAGCATTAGTAAGTATTCTTCTTTCATTTTTTGTTTTATGTATAACATATACTTTAACATCATCGGCAAAAAGTTTAATTTTTATACCATTCGGAATTACATCAGGTAAATCATTGATATAAATCAAAAATAATAGTGGGCCTAAGACAGATCCTTGTGGAACACCTGATTTAATATTTCTAGGGTTGGAAAATGTATTGTTTATTTTGACTCTGAAAGTTCTATCAGAAAGAAAAGATGAAATCCATCTTAAAATTTTTCCTCTTATGCCTATTTTATATATTTTATTGATCAAGAGATCATGTGGTACTGAATCAAATGCTTTTTTGAAGTCAATATATATACAGTCAATATTCTTTTTCCCCATTATTGCATCATACCAGTCTTCTAATGTGGTGATTAGTTGTGTTGTGGTAGATCTTTTTTTTATAAATCCATATTGATGGTTGCTAAATAAATTGTTATCAAGCAAAAATTGAACTATGTATTTATTAAGTGTCATTTCCATGACCCTGCATAATGCACATGTTAGTGCAATAGGTCGATAATTTTCAGGGTTTGATTTTTCTCCTTTTTTAAATAATGGTATTATTAAAGATTCTTTCCATATATTTGGTAGTATACCCGAATCTAATGATATTCTAAATATTTCTGATATAAAAGGAGCTATAGACGGAAGTGTAATTTTTAATATTTTATAATTTATATTATCAGGTGAAGTACCATTTCTGTTTGGTAATTTTTTAATGAAGTTAATAATATCAATTATGTCAAAATCAACATCTTCGATGACAGGTATTTGATTATTATCTTCGTTATTATGGTTATATTGCATATTTGTATTAGAAAAGTTTTCAGAAAAAATATCAGCGAAAATTTCAGATTTATCTATTGATTTTGTGATATATCTATTATTATGGTAAAGCACGGGAATTTCATTATTGGTAAATTTAAATTTTTTAAGATATTTATGAACAGAATTTCTATCTTTAGTGATATAATTATTTTGTTTCTTAGTATGAAAGTTTCTAGTCTGAATTTTTATATGCAATGATATACTATCATATAATTACATATTTGGCATTTGTTGGCCCTGGCTCCGATCTTTTAAAATTTTGGCCCTGGCTCCGGGATTTTCAAAATCTTTTTCAAAATCCGCCAGAGCCGGTTCTGGAGCTAGCTCCCAGAGCCATACCCAGCACTGGTTCTCTACTAAAAAGTAGAGAACGTTAAAGACTCAGATAACCCCCTTCCCCATGTTTTGTAGAGGATATAGGAATATTAGAGTATTAATCGAACACTCTTCACTGAGTCTTATCTGGGACTATTTCTCATCTAAAAATTTTCTTTAATTAGATATTGGTACTTTGGAAATATGGCAATCGGCGGGGTATGTATTTTCTCGATTAATTCTTTTTTTGAAAACAAAATTAAACTTAAAGATTGTTGGTGGAATGGGCGTTGTTCCAGGCGTTTTAATTATGTTACGGTAAAAATGCTTAATGATTTATTTATTCCTTCTTTTTTCTAGTTCTGTTCCTCCCAAACACAGAAGCATTTCTTTGGGTTTTAATGGTTTTCTTGTTAGTTTACTTGGTAGTGTTTCTTTCTATTTTGAAAAACCTCTTTATAAGAGACAAAAATATTTTCTTCTTAACAGTCGAAACTCGCTATTAGAATTAAAAAGAGCCTGCCTCCTCGGTCAAATAAATTTTGAAAACGAACCTTAAAATACTTTTTACCTAATTTTGGGGTATCCAAAAATGAGGTGGACTGTATAAGAAATCCTATTGTAGGAAAACTCTTAAGGGATAAAATGGGACCATTAAAGCCTTATAACAAAGCAAGAGATGTCTCTTAAAAAGAGGTTTTCTCTCTCTTTTCTCTCTAATTTCTTCCCTCTTTTAAAAAGCAACTTTACCTTCCCCAATCATTTGGGGTGCAATAATTGACAATTTTTGTCTATTTTGGACACAAAAGTGTGATAACAAAGGGGCATGTGCTTTATATGCAACAGACAAACTTCGAGTTTGGTAGGGAATTTTGCAAATAAATTTTAACAAAAGTCCTTTTCAAAAAAGGCTTCATTCACTTTATGGTGCTCTTCGTCTTCTCTCTTTTATTGCCGATCTTTTTGTTATTTATCATTCTAAAGGGTTAAAGTTAACAGATTCTGAAAATGAAAAATTGGAAGAAGATAAAGAAGAAAGTAAAAAGGAGAACGGAGTTGGTGAACAATTAGAACAACAAAAAGAATTTGAGGACAATGATTTAGAAAGGTATAGGGAATAAGGAAATCTTTTTGAACTCCCACAATTAGGGTTGGGGTTTTCGAGTTGGGCCGACGTTCGAGTCATTTCTTTCGGGCCTCATTTTTATCGAGTCGGCCCGACCGTCGATGCCCGACTCGATCTTTCGGACCAGGCCGGATCGGGCCTCCAACCCTACCCATAATATTGGAACCTTGTGATATTTGGAATAACTTAGATCAGCCTCCCGTGACAACCACTAATCTCTCTCGAAATGATGAATCTTTTTCACGAATCCCTTTAATAGTTTTATCGATATTCGAGAATAGTTTTATCGATATCGAGCCTATTTTGGAATTGAGTTATTGGAGCTTTCTAAAGCTTCTAGATGATTTTTAGCTAATCCAGCAGAGGTTTAGAATAGAACTGAATCTTAGTTGACTGACCCAAAGTTAAAAGAGTTAATCCATTAAAGTAATAGAAGTGGAGTTTCCTCGGAAGGAGAGGCTTAAAATTTTAAATAAATACCCTTAAATATTTTAAAAATATTTTTAAATTAATAGAAAATTCACTCATGTCCATGACATTTCTTGCGCACCGCCTGACTACGAAAATGATAAAGAAAAAGGTTTAAAAAATATTTTTCTTCCAAAAAATATTTAAATATTTTTAGAATTTTATGAAAAAGAATTCCAAAGAATTTCAAAAATGTTAGATAAAGAGGATGCTTTATACAAAGAAAGACGATTGTCTTTACCTCCATTTTACCCCCAAAAATCTTCTAGTTTGCCGAGAGATTTTTTAAAACCTGGGGAAATTTATCATCGAAGAACTGCTAGTAGAGACGAAAAAGAATTATTAAAGGAGAAGAAAGATGGAATTTTAATAAGCCCCAGTGAATTCGAGGCAATTAGGCGAAGTACTAGTCAACTTCCTTTTATTGAATGAGAGAAATTTTTATGATTTTTAAAATTTACATTAATTTTTTTAAATTTTGTTTATTTTAAAAGATTTTTAAATAAAAAATTTTTTCAATTATGATATTCAACTCGCGTTTAATTGTAAGAGTACATGGTGTTCTCCTTTAAGCTTCGGACGATCGAAAGCTTAAAGATTTTTGGGCTTTCTATTTCGGTTAAAGTCTGCGACCGATTTATTGGTGTTATTCTGACTCGGCTTTCAAATCTCAATTGAAAATCATCTCATCCATCAAAAAAGTTTGGAAAGTATCGAAAAATTTTTTTATTTTTTTATATTTTATAATAAGTTCTCTATAAGCCTGGTGATATTCTATAATCGCCGTCCCTCCTTCCCAAAGGCTAACCAATTTATGCATAAGAAATTAGAGTGAGTCTATTTTTAACATCCAAAAACGAATAAATTCCCTCCCTCAATTAATTACCCACGTTCGGCAAGAGGTCCAAAAAAATAATTGACCAAATTAAGGCATACCGTCAAAAAATATTGAAAAATAAAAGAATATTTATTCATCAACTTAAAAAATAATTTTTTTTAATTAATGAGATTCATCTCAGATTTTCGTGTTTATACTTAGTAATTTCATTGTATAATCATTGTATAATAATTCCAGGTTTCACGAGAATAGTAACTCCATTTACTTGTCCAACTTTGTTACTTTTAAATATTTTGAAGAAAAATAAACGGCAATCCTCTCTAATTGTTTTATTTAAAAATAAATAAATAATTGGAGGAAATCCTTAATTTTTATTTAAATTTAGAAAATTTGAATTTAAAAAATCACCATGGACGTGAAACCTAAAAAAAATTTTTCAAATTTGATTCTCACTAAAAAATATTTACCAAGCAAATTGGGATATTATAATAAGCCATTCAGGCTTTATAAATTGCATAACAAAATACAACGAACTACATGTCGTGTTTATTATTGATATTGTAAATACTTGAAGGAAAACCTGAAAGACGATTTTTTAATTTTGGAAAGTTTTTCTGATGGTAAGATGTTGAGAGCAGAGGTCGATTGGAAATGATGAAGGCGCCGGAAATCGGAACTGTCGGAAATCGGAAATGACTCAAAAGTTGGAATTCGGAAATCGAAATTCCGATCGACCTCTGGTTGAGAGACGCATAAATGCCTTCTTCGCCAAAATTCCGTTTTTTTCATTCCGTTCTTCTCTGGCAGTTATTGCTAGGTGCTTTCGCTCTCCACGTACAGGTGCTCTACCAACTGAGCCACCGTGATGCTGTTTTCACCTTCTCTTTTAATAAATCTTAAACCCCCGCCTAGTGAGCGTTTTAAATGCTAACCAGCTGGATCTTTCTCTTACTTAGTACATTTGCCAAAAATGCAGGAACAGAATGAAAATTGCATGTGTCATTTGCGGACAGATAGGGGAGTCAACTCTAGGCATTTACCACAACTTACTAATTTCTCCGCATGGCTAATTGAAAAAACTTGTGCATTAGCAATTTGTTTATATTTTTGGTTTTTAATAATTAATCCAACAGCAAAAATTAAATAAATTGTTGGTAAAGTAATTCCCACAGTTAAATTATGGTAAAATTGTAATTGAGTATTAAACTTTAAAAATTATTTTTATTTATTTTATTTTTTAATTTAAAGAAACTTCTCCATTAATATCCTCTTTATAGCCAACAAACGGATAATAAAACCAAGAAAAATAAATTCCAGAAAAAAGTACAGGTCTCAAAAAACAAAAACAAAAAAGAGCGTACAAAAACGAGATTAATAACCAAAAATAAGTTTTTATTCCTTCAAAAAGATACAAAGAAATTGAGTTGGAAATAACTTGTAAGCAACGATTGAATGCCAAAACCTTTAAAAAATAAATTGGAATTTGTGATATCTCGTATATGATCCAATATAATTATTGTTTCAACCAGACTTGCTCACGGATACTGATTTCGGTATCGTATCCGGATATTTACAGCGGATATTTACAGAGGATATCCCAGGCATCTTGATATTCTGCATCCATATACGTGTCCTTGAGCAGGTCTAGTCTCAACTTCTCATAAAGAGAGAGGGTAATTAATCGAGATTGGACAATTATGGGTATTTAAGGGGAAAAGTAATTATTCGGGATATAGTATACCGGAGGCAAAATTTCCATACAGAACACATATAATTCGTTCGTAGTTCGTACATCGAGCTTCCTATTTATGAAAGAACTTGTGGTAGAGATACAGGTCCATAAAAATTTAAAAACCCCATAGAGGGTTAAGCATAGGGGGCTAGAGCTCGAAATTTACTCAATAAATAGTAGTACATATATATAATAATTAGTGCTTCGTTAAACTAACCAAATTAGCAGTACTCTCAGCCACCCAAACAACTTAAAATATTTTTTAGAATTTTTTTTTTAATTTGACACTAATTTTTACATTTAGCTACTCCCCCAGCAATAAATATAAGTGTTGGATATGAACAAAAAACAGCCCCAAGTAGTGCAAGTATTGGGTGTAAAAAGCCGGTAATAATCAATCCAACTATATCCACAATTCCAATAAACAAAAGAATTGTATAACAATCATTTTTCCAATGCTGTTTCCAAATAGAAAACAAACAGGGCAAATAAAGCAGAAAATATATTAGTCCCAAAATTAAATTAATTAATGCTAATAGTGTTAAACGACGTTTTTCTATTGGAATTGAATCAATTACGAGATTAGTACAATTATAAAGACGTTCGTATTCTTGGCGGTTAAATAATAATAATTCCATTAATGAATAATACAGGGTGACAAGAAAGAAATGGGGCACACATTTTATGCCATAACTTTATTCAAATTAGAGATAATGGGACCAAAACAAGCTTATATGATAGCGAATTAAACAAGGAACAGATATTATCAAAAGTTTTCTAAGTGCCCAACCTTTGCTCGGAAATAGAGTTAAATGCGCGCGGAAAAATTTTAGGCAAAAGTTCGCAAGTCAAAAAATTTTTTTCAGACGGAAATTTTTTTATGAACGGAACATCTCAAACTAATAAAAATGACAGATATTGTACCCCAAAGTCTCCTCTTTCTGATCCACTTGTTACTGATTCCCAAAACCTTTTTTCTTTAATGATATAGTTTGTTATTTGCATAAGGGTCAAAATCCCATGATTTTCGTGAATCCTGGGGGTTTTCGTGGATTTACCGGAAATCCTTCAAGGTGTTTTACAGCCTTGGATCCGAAGCCACTTTTGGCGTAGGGAAGGGATCCTTCATCAGAATTCTTCCTCTTTTAATAAGACCTTTAAAGTGCAAGGTTGGTGTGCAGCTAATTTAACCGGTTTTAACCCATCTCAAATAATGCCACCGTACTCATCGGATTTGAATCCTTTGGATTGAATTTTTATTCTGTTTTGAAGGCAAGGGTCTGTTCTTAATAAAACAGAAGTTTTGAGTCGCTTCGTCAATCAATCGCCCAGGAATGGGAGAAAATCCCAACCATGTAGGTCCGAACTTTTGCCTAAAATTTTTCCGCGCGCATTTAACTCTATTTCCGAGCAAAGGTTGGGCACTTAGAAAACTTTTGATAATATCTGTTCCTTGTTTAATTCGCTATCATATAAGCTTGTTTTGGTCCCATTATCTCTAATTTGAATAAAGTTATGGCATAAAATGTGTGCCCCATTTCTTTCTTGTCACCCTGTAAAATTGAAACAGAAATTTTTGAACTTTAAAATAAAATTTTTGGCTGTAGTGTAGTGTACCGGTGGTAAAAGTTCGGGACGTGACATATGTCATTCGATTCGTCTCGCCGAGCTGAGTCGAACGGTACCACTCCCTACTTTAGGAAATGATTCTGGACCGAGTTATAGGTCCCGAAAAATTGAAAAACCAAAGGGGGGACCAAGCACTTTTTTGGGGTGAAAAATTCGAATATGCAAATAATACCTCATTCGAAAGAGCTCGTCGAGCTGAGTCGAATGACACCAAAATCAACGAAATCCGACTTGATTGGACAAAGTTATGATCTTTTATTTTAGCTCCTTACCTATGGGATCTGTGGAGATTTTTGCTGCTACGGAGGCCCCAAATACGTCCAGAGCAAGGGAGCTAGGAATAGGTTTATGTTACGAGCCCAGACCCAGCGCCCGTAGACTCCCCGCGAGGCGCGTGCCGCAAAACCCCGCGCGAAGCGCGGGGTTTTGCACAAGCGCCTCGCCGACGCCCCATAGGTTTAGGTTTTTTTGTTTTTTGTGTCATAACTTTGTCTAATCTTATTCAATCACGGTGATTTTGGTCTCATTCGACTCAGCTCGTCGAGCTCTTTCGAATGAGGTATTATTTGCATATTTGAATTTTTCACCCCAAAATCGAGCTTACTCCCCCCTATGGTTTTTCAATTTTTCGGGACCTATAACTCGGTCCAGAATCATTTCCTAAAGTAGGGAGTGGTACCGTTCGACTCAGCTCGGCGAGACGAATCGAATGACATATGTCACGTCCCGAACTTTTACCACCGGTACACTACACTATATCCAAATTTTTTTTGTTTGCTAATAGCTTTTGTTAATGAAAAAAATTTTTTTGTTAGTCAACAATTATTTATTAAATAATTGAGGTGTTGAATATTTAATTTTAAAAAATTTAAAAAATATGAATATTTAATTTAAATATTCACCTGACATTTCAAATAATTTAAGGTTGCCAAGATGAATTTAAATAAATAAAAAATATTTTGAAATAATTTTTTATTTTAATATGTACATATAATGAATATTAACATTTAAATTATTTAATTTTATTATTGAAAGATCTGAGAAAAAGAAAACGAGTGCGATGAATAAAAAAATAACATAATTCGGCAATTTTAATGTCCGTGATTTGGAACTATATTTAAATTTGATTGACACATTTATTTTTAATATTTTTGCCTTTCTCCACATGACTCCACCCCAGAATATCGACACCCTAAATATCGCACCCTAAATATCGACACCCTAAATATCGATACCCAAAATATCGAATGACCCAAAATATCGACACCCAAAATGACGAATTACCCAAAATATCGAAAATTTTTTAATTTCATAATTATGTATTCCAATGATCGGGAATGATGTTCCAACATCATAGTCTTTCGAAATTGAGTCTCAACATTTGAGACAAACAAAAACAAATTTGCAAAAATTTATCTTGGGTGATACTGGACCTGAAGATATTGATCGAATTATTATATTGGCTTTATGAACAGATGTATCAAGATTAGCTGTGAGATGATGCAAGATTAGCCAATGCAAAAATTCATAGATGTTTTTTTCCATTTCAAGGTTTTTTAAAATTTAGAGTTTTTTCAATTATTTTAAAAATTAGCCAACCATTTGGAGGAAAATCCAAGGACTTGAATGGTAAGCAAAATACCATGATGAAGAAGAGGGTCGGTACCGATATTATCGAACGATAAATTTTCTTGATTTCTTTTAAATTTTAAAATATTGGCATAATGTTTTATTTCTCTTAGATTAAATCGGACTCCGGCCGGATTTTTCGAAGGTCGTGTCCCAAATCCGGATTTCTAGATTAATAGTCTATATCCCTTCTAACTTCTCTTAATCCCACAAACTCTCCTTAAATCCATCTAACACCAACGATATCCGTCTTTTTCAGCGACATTGATTAATGATTCATCGACTTTCTCTTTGTTTGAACATATTGATCAGATTGATGTTTGTTCCGTTGTTGGAACTATTCCCCGATGTTGGAACATCATTCCCGATCATTGGAATACATAATTATGAAATTAAAAAGTTTTCGATATTTTGGGTAATTCGTCATTTTGGGTGTCGATATTTTGGGTCATTCGATATTTTGGGTATCGATATTTAGGGTGTCGATATTTAGGGTGTCGATATTCTGGGGTGATCCCCTCCACATATTCAAATATTACTTTAGTTTTACTGCCCATCATTTATATTATTTTCCCATCTTCAAATTCACTTTTATATATTTAAATTTCCGCCATTAACCTATAGCTTATCATTAATTTACTTTGTTGTTTTCCACTCATTTTCTCTTGTATATAAACCCAAACTTATTTCACATTTTTAGACCTCCTTATTGAGAGACCTCTTTTGACCTTATTCTGGCCCATTGCCCCATTAACCATTATTTTGGTTTTTTAGATTAAATCTCTGACATAACAGCGATATACTCCGAAAATTATAACCCATCTCCACCTTCGCAACTTATGAATCAATTAAAAAGGTTCCTTTCGCATTTTGTTTCATCCATTAATTATTTAAAAATTTTAGTTTATTGTGGCTTGATTATACTATTTTTGATGTTTGGTATTCCATTTTTGGTTGTAATTACAACTGTGCCAATATTCTTATTCATTGCAGCAATTCCAGTATTTTTACTACAACATTTTATTTCTTTTGTATTCTGTTATTGAACTAGTCTTTTATATTATTGGTAGATTACCGTTTTACTTCAGACAGTATCTTCAAGGATTTATTTTTACACTTTTCATGTTTTTTGCTTAATGATGGAACTTATTGAAAGAATAGTAAAGATGATTTTGAATTAACTTAAAGTGATCGTTACATTCTTGACGTGCAGTATAGATATAAATTTATTCTATATTTTTATAATTTTACATAAATTTGAATTTGAAATAAAATTAATAATGAAAAATTATTGTGATTAAATGCCTAAGCCGTGAATAATGTTTTTTTAAATTATTTTAAATATAAAACAAATTAATTAGAACAAGATTCTTCTCTTCTTATAATTCGGCATTTATATTTTCTACATCGAGCTGTTCCCCCATTAATTCGTTTTAGTGAAGGAATTCCATCATTTCCAGGCATAAATTTATATTTATTTAATAAATTTCCTAAAAATAAGAATAATTCCATTCTTGCCAAAGCTTCTCCCAAACATTGCCTTAAATTTTGAAAAATATTTCAATCAAAATTTAAAGAAGGAAAAACCTTTTTCCAATCGAAAAGGGAATTAATTCATCAACTTTTTTTAGTTTCCCATTTTCATCTAGAAAACGTTCCGGATTAAATTCTTCAGGATTTTCAAAAACTTCCCCATCTGCTAAAACAGCTGAAATTTGTGGAATAATGGTTGTATCTTTTGGTATATAATATCCATCAATTTTAACATCTCTAGTTAATTTATGAGCTACATTTAGAGGGACTAAATTTGCCATTCGCTGAATTTCCTGTGACAAATAAAAGTGTATAATTAATGAAAACAGTCTAAAGTTGTCCTTATCCTTTCAAGTTACAAATCCTTTTAAGTTCCGATGGTAAAATTCAATTTCGTACCCCCCTCCTTTTTCCTTCCTCAAAGTATTACAAAATGGTCAGTCAGACTTAGGTTATAGAACTCGTCGAGCTGTGTCGAATGACACCAAAATCGAAAAAATCCGACTTGATTTGACCAAAATACAGACCCCTGAAAATTGAACACCCATAAGAGCGAAAAACCATGGGGACCAAAATTCATACAAATGATACCTCATTCGAAAGAGCTCGTCGAGCTGTGTAGAATGACACCAAAAACAACGTGATTGGACAAGATTTGACAGAGTTATGACATAAGTCTTCGACTCCGTTAGGTCTACATAATGTCATAACTTTGTCAAACCATGTCTAATCACGTTGATTTTGTTGTCATTCGTCTCAGCCCGACGAGCTCTTTCAAATGAGCTATCATTTGGGTAAAATTTTTTTATTCCAAAAAATCGCTCTTATGGGTGTTCAATTTTCAGGGGTCTGTATTTTGGTCAAATCAAGTCGGATTTTTTCGATTTTGGTGTCATTCGACACAGCTCGACGAGTTCTATAATCTATGCCTGAGTGACCATTTTGTAATACTTTGAGGAATGAAAAAGGAGGGGGGGTACGAAATTGAATTTTACCGTTCCGATATTTTCCCCAATTTCAAAAATTCTTTAAAATTATCTAGGCTCTTGTCCAGTTCATGCGTCCCATGAAAATTTATGCGTCCCATGAGAATTTTATTATTATTCCGGATACCCGCGTAGTTCCGATATTTCTTATTTCCAACATTTGGTTAAGTTTAAATAATTCTTGAATATTTTGATTTCCAACGGTCTCAGGTTGTCCTTATCCACCTCTAGTCCCCATGAAAGAAGGGCTGAATTTATCGTTGTTTTTAATTGCAGTATACTATTAAATCCCCTGAACTATAATTCCCCTATAAACTATTAATTAAACCTAACGTTAATTAAAGCATTTAAATATGGCAAGGATGGCCTATCTGCCGTTGTAATAATTCTATCGAAATCTCCAATAATCGAATCTAATTCTGCATGTACTTTGTTTTGAACATTTGGATTATTAATTAAAAAAGCGATTCCCCAATTTAATGTGGTGCTTGTTGTTTCTTGACCGGCAAACCAGAGGTCGTTAGCAACTCCTACTAGTTGCTCAATCCTAATTTTTAAAATTATTTTTTATAAATTAGTTATATCAGTTTTCTAAGAGACTAGAAAGGGGAGTTTCTGACCTAGTATAAGGTTGGCGGATCCGGATATCCGGATCCGAAAAAAGGCTGGATATCCGGAAATTTTCGGTTCCGATACCGGATCTGGATATCCTAAATTTTCGGTTCGTATATCGGATCTGGATCCGGATATTCAAAGATTTCCAACTATCCACCTGGCCAATAAGACGTTTGAGAAAAAAGACGCGTCGGGGTTTCAAACTTTTCTAAGGATCGGGCTTCGGGTCTAGAAAAGTCCAGGTTTCTGGTTGCAAGAACCCGCCCCTAACCTGGTTCCGAATATCCGGAGATTTTTTAAGAACAGCCCTTCAAAAATTAAAATATTACGTAAAATCATGAGGTGCTCCTATTAAATCCTTTTGCTGCTTTTCTAACAAAAAAGCTTCTACAAAATCTGTTGGAGGTGAATTAATTGAATTTAAATGTTCTTTAATTTGTCTCTTATGGAAATCAAATAATTGGTTATCTACTTACTCCTTTCAGATATTCAAAATAATAATTAACAAAAGGTAAATGTCGTAATGAGGGCCATAATCGTATTAAGACCATGGATGGATGAAATCCTGTATCTAAAATAATATCCATCAATTTTTTAAGTTGCCTGAATTCTCCAAGTCTTTCCTAAAAATTAATTTTTAAATTAACAAAAAATTCCAAAAAACTTTACATTATCAAATCTATATCCAAAAAGGAAATTGTTAATAATGGAGCCAACACTTATATCAATATTTTCACCAAAATCAACATCCTTTCCCTCTTTTATTTCTTCTTCTATTCTCTCAAATAATAATTCTAATTCACTCAAAATCTAAATAAATACATAGTACATATTAAAAATTTATTAAAGACGTTAGAGAGAATTATGAACTTAAGTAATTTTTTGGGATCTTTGGGTTATGTTGCCTTTTTAATTTTTAGAAAATTTATTGTGTGAGATAAAATTTAATAAGCTTAAAGAAGTCATTTAAGAAGCTTAATACGATTATGACCATTCAAAAAGCTTTGGCTACCTCGCAAAAATAGTAAAAAATTCAAACTTAGCTTTTTTTGGTCTTAAAACTTCACCTATCCCAACTTTATGTATAATTATGGTAGCTGTATCCATGAGAAAATGAGACTTTGCAATGACTATACGAAGCCATCTAAAGTAAATTTCCCCTTTTAAATTGGAAAACTAAAAAAATTCGTCTGCGTTAACAAAAATGCAAATTTGTCTTAAAGCTGGCAAAATCACAACTTTGGTGCCTAAAGTTGTAAGATGTTTCCAGAAAAAATAGAAAATATTTTCAAGTGCTTTTAGCTTAACTAATTCCCTCAATTTTTATATTTTAATAATAACTTTATCTTGCATTAAATTCTTTCCAAGCCCAAAATCTCTAAATATTTGCAAAGCAAAACGTCTCTGTCCTCGCCAAAGTTCACCTTCAGTCATTATTACACCATAAGTTCCTCCTAATAATTTTATTTTTATGTTTATTCTGTGGACAATTGTTACCACAATACAACCACAATCATGGGTAATTTTCGAAACGACCTCAGTATTACCAAAAAATACCGAATATGTATTACTCGGAATTGCCGATACTTCTGCCATACCGATCAGAGGTGGGTCGGAATTCCGATTTCCGACTTTTGAACCAGTTCCGATTTCCGACACCTCTGACTGTTCCGACCCACCTCTGATACCGATAAAATTTTTAAATTTTCGTTACTCATCGGTGCAAGGACCTTAGGCAATAAACGGAACCTACACCTATTCTCTCTGCACTGACACCACAATAATATTACTAATTTCTTAACTTTTCCCAATCTATCTCCTTTCCAATTAGGTAACTAGTAAATTACCTCTAACAAGTTTATCAAATTCTTCAAATCCAAAACGCCCAGAATATGCTTCTCCATCTTTTTGGAATGTTTCTATAATTTTATTAAATTCAGCCACACAAACTTGTGGCTGCTCTCCAAACCAAATTGTAAATATATTTCCATATTTACGCCTCCAACGTAAAAAACATTGTTCCGGCATTTCCTTCTCAAAACTTAATAAATTGCCAATTATAGGAAGTGGGGGTGGACCAGAAAGGAAAAAAATATTTGGCCCTATCCCGAAAGAAGGGTCGAATCGTTTTTTTTCATTACTTTTTATTTCTTTATAAAAATGGTCAGTTTTCCTTAAAGTTGATGTAGGTTGACGTTTGCCTTAAGGAAAAATGGAGGACGGACAATGACAGAAGAACACGAACAGACAAAACAAGGACGGACTAAACACAGACGGACACATGTTCGCCCGTTTGTGTCCGTCCTTGTTTTATCTGTCCGTGTTATGTCTGTCCGTGTCCGTCTGTGTTTTGTCTGTTCGTGTTCGTCCGTGCTTCGTCTGTGTTCGTCCGTGTTTTGTCTGTCCGTGCTCGTCCGTGTTCGTCCATGTTTTGTCTGTCCGTGCTCGTCCGTGTTCGTCCATGTTTTGTCTGTCCGTGCTCGTCTGTGTTCGTCCGTGTTTTGTTTGCCCGTGCTCGTCCGTGTTTTGTGTCCGTGTTCGTCCGTGTAAATGATACAAACGAAAACAAGAGAAAAATATAAAAAATTTAATCTCTTTCACCATTTTTCCTCAAGGCAAACGTCAACCTACATCAACTTTAAGGAAAACTGACCATTTTTATAAAGAAATAAAAAGTAATGAAAAAAAACGATTCGACCCTTCTTTCGGGATAGGGTCAAATATTTTTTGTAAAAATTATTAAAATTTAACTTACCAGGAGGTAAATTACGCCTTTTAAAATAAAAATTGTAAAATAATATAGAACAAACAAAAAAATTGAGTAAAATAAAAAATAGAGAAATCATTTGTTATTTAATTAATTTCTTTATAAATAATAATTTCTTGATTTAAAAAATTAAATTTAAAAAAATTATTATTTATTTTGGGTAACTATTTAAAATAGATTTGTGAGATAACTCTTATTTTAGCTTTAATAAATTAACTTTAAATTAATATTAGATTCACTGAAAACAAAGAAAAACGCTTCCGAACATCTGGATAATTAAAAGTCATCTTTCATACTCAAGTTTAATTGGTCATAACTCCTTAAAAATCATTTAATCCCAATAATTTTGGCCCTAGGCCCCAATCAACTCAGCTCGTTCAGAAGCGATGTACTGGTTGACGAGGTAAGGAATAGGAAATCGAGATTACAGACACAGAAAAACGTCAGTAATTCAAAAAATTTTCTTAAAACGGGACGGCATGTTTACTGTTCATTATTTAATATTTTCATATTGAAAAGATTTTCTACTAAATTAATTTTGTTAAAACAATTTATGTCTGTCATTAAATTTAAAAAAAAATAAATTTTTAAATAATTTAACGAATTGATTAAATTAGTGCATTTTATTTATTTTAAATAAAAATGTGACAACTTTTTAATGAAAATTTTATAGTTTATAGTTTGTGAATTTAATCAAAAAATTAATCGTAAAATAAAAAGAAAACAAATTTAAGTCTAAATATAAAAATAAATTGATAAATAAAATTCAAAAAAAAAATTTTTTTTGATAAAATGCCGTATCAACAAAATTATGTAGTACATACATATTTTATGGTTTCTGGTTAGTGTTTTTATCTGAACATAAAAATAATTAAAAATTTATACATATGTATATACCATATTTGCTAAAATAATTACCCGGGGAATTATTGTTTCAACCTCTCGCTGGAGGGAGTAATTAATAGGGCCGAATACGCGAATAATTCCCATATTATTCGAAAGGTCTCGAGATTCGGCATCTTTTTTATAATTAGCTCGATCTGATCATCACAAAAATATCTAGATGTAACTTTTTGTACTGGTCAAAGCAATCTAGTTGAAATTCGAACATCCAGGGCTTTTGAATGATAAAAGATTTATTCAAATTTGTTGAAACCAGATAAAGTTATGGCCTAAAATATGGTTTCGGAACTCGACCGGAGGGACTCAATGGCCCTAATTACTCTGATAAATTTATACTATAAAAGCTTTCTACAAAATGTTGCTACAAACAATCAACTCAACTCCTTCGCATTCCACTGCTTCTTCAACTTCATTGGCGCTCGTCGTTTTGATCTATTTTGGTTGGCATGTTAAGGTAAACTCCTCTCTTAATTCTCTTTATTTTCCTCTTCGAATATTTTCTTTTTAAAGTTTGATCGACTTTGGACCATTCTTGGCTTTCTTCTTTGTTGCTGTAACGCTTTCTGGATCCGTGTCCTTGCTCTTCTGCTGCAAATCAAAAAAGAAGTCAGCAACAAAAAGTCAGATCCAAAAACAAGCATTGGTGGATAACAGAAAGGTGAGAGAAGAGGAGGGGGATTTTTGGGGATGAAAATAATTTTCACTAACAGAGCAAAGACAATCTTCCACTAAAGGAGGGACCAGCACCAGGAGAAAAACCAGCACCAGCAGCAGCAAAAGGAAGGCAGCAGAAACAGCTAAAAACACCACCACCTCAACCAGCAAAAGGAGCAGCGATTGGTGGCGAGTAGTTACCCCCCCCCCCCCCCCCCAATTTGTTGCACAGGTGTGCAACAAATTGGAGGCGGAAGTTGGCAACATCAAAGGGAAATCCAAGGGTGTAGGGGGTTTCCATCCCCCGCCCCCATCAATTTCCCCGCACTTGTGCGGGGAAACCAAAGGGTGTGGGAGGTTTCCACCTCCCACACCAACAATTCCTTCTACTTGTACCTTGTACAAGTAGTGGTGCGGGAAATGCGGCATGACAAAGGGAAACCAAAGGGTGTGGGGGAGATCATCGGCTCCCGCACCGCAAATGGCGGCGGAAACCAAAGGGTGTGGGGGAGATCTTCGGCTCCCGGAGTGGTAAGTGACAGCTTCTGATTGATTGACAGGTACAACTACAAGTGACAGGTACATGAAAAGTGACAGGTTATGATTGATTGACAGGTACATGAAAAGTGACAGGTTTTGATTGATTGACAGGTACATGACAGGTTATGATGATTGATATGTGACAAGGTACAAGTACAAGACTTCTATCTGGGGGGGCTGAAATATTTGGGGGGCAGGGGTTTCAGTCTGGGGCTGAAATATTTTGATCAAAGATCAAAAACCTAATAAAATAATTAAATCCCCGAGCGGAATCGAACCTTCCCCAAAATTTTCAAATGCGGAAACCTTAACCAGTCGGCCACGGAGGTTTAATAACACTTTATCAAATTAACCAAATTATGTATTTCCCGGTAAACTTTGGGGGAAAGGTTGGAGGAAGAAAATTAAAATGAAGGGAAGTAAGGAAAATTGTTGATTCCCCTCCCAAGGTCATTTGCGGGAAAACATAAAAATATTCCAAAAAGTTTGGCTCCTATTGGTTGTTTGTGGGAATTTAAAAAATTAAAAAATTCAAAATTTTTGAAAAAAATTTCAAATTTCGAGTCGAAATTTCGAAATGTCGAGTCGAAATTTCGTAATCAAAATTTGAATTAAAAATTTAAATTTAAAAAATTTAAATATTTAAAAAATTAAAAAATATTAAAATTAAAAAATTAACTAAAAATGAAGGAGAAAAAATTTACAAAAATTCTGAAAAAAATTAAAATGATTTGCAAAAATCGGCGGAAGTCAGAATGTAAGGGGTATTACCCAATTATTACGAAATCCCAAATTTCATAATGTCAAAACGACAAAATGCCACAAGGACAAAATGTCACAACGACAAAATGCCAACTCTCAAAACGTCAACTTAATTTAAAAATTAATCTTTACCGAATATTAATTTAATTCCAAACTTATTTTAATCTTTAATTGTAATTTTTTTAATTTAGATCAACACATAAAAAATATGGTGATCTTTTGGGGAGTATGGAAGAAAATTTTTAAGTGCTCTTTTTTCAAGGACACCGTCTTTTTTTTGCGATAAGATCTTTTTTTCACACTTAAATTTTTATTTCTTAATTTAAGTTAAAACCTTCTCTTCTAATCTCTACCCATTTTATTTAAAATATTTACTTATTTGCAGATCGATTAAGTTTTAGAATAATTTTTCGTAGTTAACTTATTAATTCCTATTTAAAAATTTTGTAAAACGTTTTAAATTTAATTATTTTTATATTTTAAATTTTCTTTTAAACATTTCAATTTTATTAAACAAATTTATCTAATTATTTTTATCTAAAGCCGTTGCGACCGATAAACGGCTGCAACGCACTTCAAAAGCCGCTGCGGCCGATAAACGGCTGCAGTGCATTTCTATTTTCTAAAGCCGTTGCGGCCGATAAACGGCTGCAACGCACTCCAAAAGCCGCTGCGGCCGATAAACGGCTGCAGCGCATTTCTATTTTCTAAAGCCGTTGCGGCCGATAAACGGCTGCAACGCACTCCAAAAGCCGCTGCGGCCGATAAACGGCTGCAGCGCATTTCTATTTTCTAAAGCCGTTGCGGCCGATAAACGGCTGCAACGCACTTCAAAAGCCGCTGCGGCCGATAAACGGCTGCAGTGCATTTCTATTTTCTAAAGCCGTTGCGGCCGATAAACGGCTGCAACGCACTTCAAAAGCCGCTGCGGCCGATAAACGGCTGCAGTGCATTTCTATTTTCTAAAGCCGTTGCGGCCGATAAACGGCTGCAACGCACTTCAAAAGCCGCTGCGGCCGATAAACGGCTGCAGCGCATTTCTAATTTCTTAAGCCTTGAATTTCCAAATAATTTTATATAGTCTCAACCGTTTAAAAAAACATTAATTAATTACATTTTACATTTTGCTATAATTTACCACCTTAAATTTATTCTGTTTCAATTATCATTTATATAAATATACCTACCTATCTTAATTTACTTATTCTTAATATTCTTAATACTTTTAATTTTAAAAACTATGGTTCATATTCCCTTTGACCCACGAACAATCGGTTACGATGACCATCATTCATCTATTAGTCAAATAGGCGCAGGCGCTGATGAAAACTATTTCTACTTTCGCGGACTTAACCCCTATCAGCGCGGATATGGAAGACAGGCGGGTGGCGGAGTTGGGGAT